GGGGAGAGCTGCCCTTGTATCAGCACAAAGTGCTCTCGCTCCCGTTTTGCTACGCTGCATGGCAGAAACCGCTCCCAGTTGCAAAAGGGGAGGGCTGCACTTTGTGCTGATACACTTGCTCAGAATGCAGGGCGGATCCGGCTCCTCTACAGCTGCTCCGGAGTCCAGCCCGGGACTTTCCTGCAGCCCTCCCAGCCGCTCGCTCTGCTCTGCCGGGGGAGGGGGGAAATCCCGGACATTGTGAGTGCTTTACAAATTCCCCCCGGACGCTATTTTTAGTACAAAAAGGAGGACATGTCCGGGTAAATCCGGACGAATGGTAACCCTAAATAACTTACTTTTGCATTGATTTCATTGCGCAACCTTTCCAATACGAACCAGGCCTCAATGTTCCTCCAGTTTTCAGAATGTGTATGCATTTAAAATCCCTCACAAATAATAAAGGGTTTATCATTATATAGTTAATTAATAACTCCTCATGCTGGGGCTAAGAACTTAGTTAATAGATGCTAGTAAAGTACTTTGAGATCCCTGTGCTACGGAAATGTGTTAACACTAAAGCAAATTGTGTAGATATAGAAATTTAAGTATTGTACCTTTAAAACCATTACAGCCAATATTCAAAGTGAGAAGAGAATATGCTCCAGGCTAGAACTGAATTGGGGAACAGCGCACAGGTGGCATGCAGAATGGGTGATGGGAAAACTAAAGCAACCACCACAGAGCAGTTCTGATCAGACCCTTAATATGCTGTCCTATTTCTTTTAATCTTTTATTTCATTCTCTGTCTTTACATCATATTTTTCCTGTTCTATTGAAAGAGTAAGGCCTGGTCTACACTACGGGTTTAGGTCGACTTTAGCAGCGTTAAATCGAATTAAGCCTGGACACGTCCACACAACGAAGCCCTTTCTTTCGACTTTAAGGGCCCTTTAAACCGGTTTCTTTACACCACCTTCGACGAGGGGATTAGCGATAAAATCGGCCTTTGCAAGTCGGAATTGTGGTAGTGTGGACGGAATTCGACGTTATTGGCCTCCGGGAGCTATCCCACAGTGCTTCATTGTGACCGCTCTGGACAGCACTCTCAACTCAGATGCACTGACCAGGTAGACAGGAAAAGACCCGCGAACGTTTGAATTTCATTTCCTGTTTGCCCAGCGTGGAGAGCATAGGTGACCACGCAGAGCTCATCAGCACAGGTAACCGTGATGGAGTCCCAGGATCGCAAAAGAGCTCCAGCATGGACCGAACGGGAGGTACGGGATCTGCTCGCCATATGGGGAGATGAATCAGTGCTAGCTGAACTCCATAGCAGTGAAAGAAATGGCAAAGTATTAGAAAAGGTCTCCAAGGCCATGAAGGACCGGGGCCATAACAGGGACACACAGCAGTGCCACGTGAAAGTTAAGGAGCTACGGCAAGCCTACCACAAAGCCAGAGAAGCAAATGGAAGGTCCGGGGCAGAGCCGCAAACTAGCCGCTTCTACGCGGAGCTGCATGCCATTCTAGGGGGTGCAGCCACCACTACCCCAACCGTGTGCTATGACTCCGTCACTGGAGAAACACACAGGGAAGAGGGTTCGGGGTATGAGG